ATGATGATGATGATGATGATGATCATAAGGTCCCATTAACTTCCTCTAAGGTCTACCTTTCCGTCGAGCCTCTGGGCTTCCCTCGCGGGTCCGAAGCGTGGGCGCTCGTTGACCCAGACATACCTGGCCGGAGCCAAACTACTCGCGGTGCCGAAGAGCCGAAGACCAAGGAAACCATCCGTTCATCTGAAAACCCCACCCAATGCAGGTGGTTCATCGACATGCTTGATTTATGAAAGTTGGAAGGGTAGAATGAAAGGTCTGCTGGACTTGGGCTTTTCTGGGGGCCTTTTTGAGGTGAATAAACGCATGATGACCAGGCCATGGTGGAACGATTGGGCCCTAGTCTTCCACATGAGACTAGCCATCCATGAGACTAGCCTCTGGGCAAGTACCTTTTCATCAATTCTTATCACATTTCCACTGGGCTGGGAATGTGATGAAACATCGCATGGGCCTGTGATTCGGATCTAAACCCTCTTTTGGCGTGGGAAACATCTCAAACAATGGACGCACGATGTGAGGATTGGAAAACAACGGACAACTCAAATAAGTTTCAACCATATAGATTAGAAATGACATGTCGCCGGTTACTCACAACAACCTACTGTATATGGCAGCTGCTCTCAGGGATCTTTAGTCTTTAATGATCGGTTTTGGCTGCTCTAAGTCTGCCAAGCTGCGCCGGGTCATCAGCCTCACTGACATCTGAGAAAGCCTCGCTGTTGTGGGGACAAGCCACGATGGTAAGCGGAAAAATACCCAACGCCTGGAATTCAAGAGAATACACGAAAAATGCGCACACATGTCACCACATGTCACACACACACACAAGAAGATCATACCCACGGGGACCGATGACATTGGAGGGTGACTTGTTTGACATTTTACCATACTGACATGGTATGTAGTTACATGCTCTGCACCAAAGTATTTACGGTACATTGTACAATATATAAAATATGCATACCACGTCAGTTTGGGAACGACCAATGATCAGCTATGCTGGAATCTTGGCCCTCCATGATGCAAGCGAGTGGCAGATTCATCCTCGGGTGGCACAAGCACGCAGCTGATTTCGGGTCAGGGAAGCAACGTTGGGGAAGCTGCATTAAACGCATTAAACCTTAATACGAAAACACAGGCCCCTCTACAGGTTTCATAAGGACATACACAAACAACTTTGATTTGCATAGGATTGTGGGATTGGCTTGGGGAGGGCAATCAGTATGCCAAGAACCTCAAAACAAGCTCCTGCATCAACGTCACATAAGTGCTATATAATCGATTTAGTCCAACTTAATTGTGCAGTTTTGTAAGAACCAGCGGGGACGCCAGCGGGGTTATTAGGCTTTTGATCCACATGATGAATGTGGTTGTCTTAACACTGAATCCCAGTGGCAAAGGTGGCCACCCACCCACCCACCCACCCACCCACCCACCCACACACGTGTCATGACCTAGTGCAATCATGTTTCCTCATCTAAATTATTAAGTGACTGCCACCCAAAACAAACAGCCGAGCCACAAAAAGAGCACCGAGGTCAAGCGTGAAACAGCCGGGCCAGCCTACACAATAGTTGGACCAACTCCCACTAAACGCCCAAGGCACCACATCACCTGGCACAGCATCTTTCACACCTCGGCTGGCGCGAGGGCAGGTTTCAACAGTGTCCTTGCCGGTGTCCTTGCTGTTAACCTGGAAAGTCTACATGGAACGACACGGACCTCTCTACATAAATAAATCAATATATATATATACACATATATACTAGCCAACCTGGTGCCATCTATATCCTCCAAGTACGTAATACAATGTAATACAGTAGTTCCATGATGTTTCATTGCTTACCTTCAATGTTGGTGTCCACGGTGTGCTTGCCCGTGTGCAGGCTGCGCACTAAAGCTTCTCTAGAAAAGCCCATCTTTGATCAACGACGCGTGCCCTGGGTGCGCCGGACGGCACAAATCGGCGCTGCTGTTCAACGAAACCTCGGAACTGTCAGGGGTTGAGCCGGGGGAGGTGCTTTTGTCCAGCAATCCCGAAAACGAATTCTTATTGAGCATCTGCATGGATAGAACATGAAAGAACTATAAGACCGCAACCAACTCAACAATACTAAACATAGCTTGATAAATCAGGAATGGACCATCTTGAAATCTTCACGCCCCATAACATCCAGAAACACCGTGATATTTCACCTCATTCTGATTCCAATGTTTGCTTCTAAAGGACAATTTGAAGTCGTCTCTCCAAGTCCTCTGATTTCCTTTCAGCCCCAATGGTCGTCGCCCATGATGGTCGATGCATGCAATATGGCAGGACTCTTACGAAAGAAAAACACAACATCAAGACTTGATAATAATAGCTGTTTGATAATTTTAATTTAATAATCTAATTATAATAGCTTTTTGTTACTACCAGTAAGGCACTTGTTACTACTAGCGAGGCACTTGTTACTAAGTGTGTAATGACCGACCGTTGAACAATACATCTCCTATAGTGCCACGCTAGTAGTAACAAGTGCCTTACTAGTAGTAACAAAAAGCTGTTAGAATTAAACTAAATTTAAGTTACATCTCCTATACCATTGGGACTGATTTTCTTGGAGGTTGGTGGCCCACGACTCGTCTGTCGACACCAAATGCAGCTGAAAGGCCATGACTCGTTTGAGGAGTCCGCGACGCTTTTAAAGCGGTGCGGTTTTCCGACCCCGATCCCAATCACTGGAGCCGCAAGTGTTGTTGGGCCGATCTTGAAGCAAGTCTTGCGAGTGATTTTGTCGGCTTGGAGGTGCAAAAACAAAGGTTACCGTGATTTATGATGGTGTTGGAGTTTGGACTCTTGACCTATGAACGATTATGAACGGGTCTTCACTGTAACTAGACGGATGAAGAACAGGCTCTGCTTGGAGATTGAGCTGAGGTGAACCCCTGTAAAACCATGCGAATAGATATCAGAACTCATTCGGTACGGAGCCTCAAACACTGTCTGTAGCTCACCACCTCTCACGAGCGGATCACACGGTGACGACTCACCACGGATCACGCGGTCACAGTGACACAAGTTGGCAACATGGTACCACATGGTACCCGCTGCTCCCCAACAAAAAGTCTGCGACAGCATGTCGGCAACGCAAATGCCAAGCCGCCCACCAGCAAACAGGTCTTAAATCAATTCCAGCAGCAAAATGATTAAGGTTAAATGGCTCATCCTCCAGTAATGGAACATGTTCTCCCCGAAAAAAAAGCCACCCCAACTTGGCGCACCTGAGAGCCGGGACCAGGATCGCACACCTGGACTCCACTGAAGCAGTGGAGTCACTGCATTGCGATGGCCTTTCTGATTCTGAGGGTTCGGACGACAGTTCTCAAAGATGCTGATTTGATGATGGACTATGGAATGATTGATGTACATAATGTACATATATGTACATATATAATTCGAGAATCAAGTTCACATCTTGCTCTCGCTGGTTGGATCCCGAATTAGCCTGCTTATCCACCACCCCAAAGTGGCACTCATGGATTTCCAACATAGATCTCCTCGATCCCTACTCAAAGTGTTCTGCAACATAGGGTATGGACACACAACACAAGAAACATGTATATATATATATATGTGAACATCTGTATTTAAATACCATTGAATACCACCATTGCCCGAAATTACATGTCTATACATAGTAATAGTATGTAATAGATTGTAATAGTATAAGTTGCTTTTTTCTTAGTGCCTAAATGGTCACGCCATCAGGTCACGGGATCTCGCACCTCAGCTTAGTGAGGCGCCTAAGTCAGGAGCATATTACAGCTTTGAGGGTTCCACAGTTCCAGGTCTTGCTGAGATCTATGGAAGGCCAGCCTGGGACTGGTGTTCTTTTTCGCATCGCCTCTTGCGTGCAGGTGGCCTTTGGCGCTTGGACGGCGCTTGGGTGACACAAAGGGGGAGGGCTTGGTGCCTCCACGGGAGGGTGTCATTTTTTGAGTCTTCCCTCACATTTATCATATATCTAAGCAATCAAATCCACTCTTCAAAATGGATGTTGCATGACGACAAGTAAATCAGAAACAACAATGAGCATGAACATTTTTGCATTGCACTTCATCTTTATAGAGTAAAACTCATCAACAACTCATCGAGGACCTTGCTTTCAGGCTCTCGGTTTGGATCTTAGCTTCAGCTCCGCCTCTGCCAGCTGCTGAAACCGCGCGCGCGTGCGGGCCGCTGAGCTCTGCAGCCGCCCTCGGCGGGGAGAGCCCTGCGGCTTCAAGAGCGCTTGCTCCAAGCAGTCTGTGGTGGCCACGCTTTCAACGTCTGGAGGCATCAAATGCACCTGGGGCCACCACAATCGTTCGAATCTGTCGGTGATTTTGTTGTGTAACCATGTTCACGGACCAATGTACCTGACCCGAACGGGACTGCGACCGCCCTGTTCCATGTGGTTCCACGACCGCCCGCCAAACCCGTAGCGAATCCACCAAGCCCGGTTCCATCGTTTCATCCACGGAACTGCGCCAGCGCCACCCTGTGGCAGCCTGGAGCTCCATGAGAGTCCACTCCACCCGCTCGAGAGTGAGCTGCGTGTGGCCGCCTCGAAGAGGGCCTCCACGGCGGCTGTGTGATCCTTGGTCATGAGGAAGGGATGCTGGAGAAAGCCTTCGGATCAAATCAAAAAGCATGGACCATGGACTGCACGAACGTGCATACAGTCCTCAGTCCTCGTTCGCCGCCGCCCACCCCCATCTACATCCCTGCATCCCCACATCCCCATCCGACCTTCCTAGCTTCCTAGTAGCGTCCTTCAAATCGACCTTCCCGGACACTACTTCCTAGCTTCCTAGCTAGGTAGGTCCTTCTAGCTTCCTAGCTTCCTAGTAGCTTCCAATTCCGGTCTTCAAATCGACCTTCCTAGCTTCCAAGGCCACCTGTGCGGACCGTCCCGCGGGCGGCATGGAAGAAGGAACAGGAACGTGGGACACGGCGACCGGTGGGGCGGAGGCGGCTGGGGCTGCATGGTCCTGGCCAGGTGGTCGCAGGTTCCAAATCATTTGCCAGGGTTCCCTTGCTGATTAAACTTTTCCAGATTTCTTACCATGGCTGGCCGAAATGACTACCTGGGGACCTGGACCATTTTGTTGGGGAGACCAATGGATATAGCATGATATAGCTATCCAATGGCAGCACCCAAAACACTGCAGTCCTCAGATGCCAGTGTGAAGCTCCCGGTGTTGTTCAAGCAACGTCTGGGGCGCTCCACGTGTGCTCGATAAACCTGGCGACCGGTTTCGACGGTTTCGGCGTGGGATGCTGATCACTCGAGTCTGTTGATGTTGTTCCTGTTCTTCTTGTTGTTGCTGAATATGGTCGTTGCTTTCTCTTTCGCTTTCTAGAGTCTCTCCGTTGTTCCTCCGTTTCCCAGTCTTTCTCTTGCTGTATTGTTTCTGGCTGGCTCTCTCTCCCACACTCTTTCTTGCTCTATGGCTCTATGGGCCCGGGCATCTGTGACAAGGCAGTCTGGTGACATGTGCATAGGCAAACAAAAGCAAACTTGCTTTCAACCTCTTCCCGGGCATGTCTCGTAGGTAGAAAAGACAAAACACAACTAATATTTAATTTAATGCAGGATGGATTCTGCGTGACTGCCAAGATGCTGAAACGGATAGTCTGTCGTTTACATCATCCTGCTTTCCCTGTTTCTATGCCCTTGCCTGTATCTTCAGACCGTGCAGGAGAGAAACCCCTGAGACACTTGGGTGCTAAAACGCACTTTCAGCATCTCACCCTGCAAAAATGGCACCCTCATCAGCCTCATCAATGGCTCATGCAGCCGGGCTCTTCCCCAACTAAAACCACAGTCATCCAAAAACACGGCAAAGTGTCCGTCATCGTTCTTGATGTCTGCTGAGAAGAACATGATGACTAAAAAACCCTGAATTGATCTGAAACCCGGTCGGGTCCTGGGGGGGGTCGTATACCCCTCAGATCCCATGGGCCTGATTGTCCAGGTTGGTGTTCTTCGGATTAAGCAATGGGACCACCAAAGCCTCTCGATAGCACAAGTGCTTGAACTCCTCGTGGGGGTGTTTCTCACACACCTCCTGGATGCCTAGGCGGGCAATGGAGGCTGAGGGATGTCAGGATTCTGCCAAACCACAGCTTGGGAGTGAACCCCCCTGCACTGTTGAGGTGAAACCCAAAGACAAGGATTCTATAATTCTTAGTTCTTAGTTTTTTCACCAGTGTGTGATGGGTTCAGCCCCGAAGAGAAAATTAAACAAAACATCGACAATGCTGACCTTCCGATAGCCACTGATATTCTTCTGCCCTCAGGCCTCAGGCCAACAAAAGAATACAACTTCCATCGTTCCATAGGCTCTTGACATTTCAACTAAATCGATCGAGCAAAACTGTTTTGCATTTTTTGTGTTTTTTTGCACTTTGAATCATTTTGAGTCTCTGTGCGGGCACATGGCGATGGACCTGGTAAATGTACGCAAACTAGCCGGACATATCTTATGTCTAATCATCCTACTCCTCTCCTCACCTCCGCTCGACACCGCCCACATATGTCTCCGATCTCCGACCCGTCCAGGTCGCTGGAGGCCGGGACGTGCGCGCGGACGGCGTGGTAGGAGGAGGGGAGGCTGAAGGACGGGTGGACTTTCTGCCGCTTCCTGAGGTCGCCCGCGGCCCGCTTGGTCGGCCGCAGATGGGGAGCCGGCTTTGGCACACGTGGGGTTTGGACACCGCAAAGGAGAAGAACTTGGGACAAATAGAAGGGAACATCTTCGAACCTTATGCCGCCTCACGATTGCAAACTACTAAAACCCTGTTTAGACCCTTTAAGGATCAGCCACACAACATGGCACCAGCAGGAGCCAAGGTTAGAAACGACCAGGGCATCTCAGTTCGGTTTATGGCCGGTGGCCGATCACCAACCAAGATTCAGTTGGTCCCAGTCAATCACAGGCACTCGCGTCATGGCACCTAACTACTTTGCGAGTTCAACGCTGGTGTATCAAGTCAATGGAGCACAAAGTCTGGATGTGGAGTTTCTCTGTGCTTGTGATTGGTTGGTGTTGGCGTTGGGGTTGTGGGACGGTCATGGGTTCCCATGCATCTTGAGCCACTGTACTGCAGAAAGAATGGTGCAACAAACTTGTTCCCAGCATCATGCATGGCAGCACATGAGGCACACTTGCATGCTGCCAGTGTGGCTTACGCATACCATATGAATCCCGCAGGAGCTCCTGGTCATCATTGCATTAGTTCAGCAAGGTCAGGCTGAACATGTTATAGAACATCTGTCACTTTGTGGCACGGAATATGGAATTGTTCTATCCATGACTCATGACTAAGTCGTGCCAAATATAGTTACAGTAACTATAGCCTTTTTGATACCATTCTTTCGCGCAATCTCTGTCTAAAAGCCAAATCGAGGCACACCAGCGACGGCCAGCAACGGCCAGCATGCTTCCACCACCCTGCGCCGAGGCACACAGGGCCAACTCATCCGCTTTGAACTGCGAGAGTCTCCGCTGTGACCTCGAGACCGACCGGAAGGGACCCGAGAGGAGCCGTTGGCCGAGAGGAGCGGTTCGCAAGGTAAACTACAATGAACCTGCTTTCGTATGCCAATTCACTTTAGATGCATGTGCATGTAGACATATAGAAAACATCTACTGATTTGATGATGATGTAGGGCTGGTTATCGTTCTTAAGCAGTCCGCCCTGACTGTTCTCATTCTTCCTGCCTTAGTGAAAACACACCCATGAGCCACCTTCGAGCGATCCAATTCGGCAAACGCTCCTTTGAACGCTCGACACGGACAATGCTTTTAACGCCCCAGAGCGGTGTACCGCTATTTGGTCAACAGTAAAGCCAACCTTCTGGAAGAGAAGATCTCAAAATCCTCCAGAATCCGATGCAATGCAACCGTGCAACATTGCCCTCGACAATGTCTTCCGCTCACGCAAAGTCATACGACAAATATGCCAACATGTCAGTCAACCATCCAACCACACCGACACATATATCCGCACGCAACAAGCACCATACTGTATCCATGACCTTCACCACCAAGCGAACCCAGCCGAACTCAGCCGCTCAGCTCACCGAGCAAAGCTTCCGAGGCCTTCACTCCGACGTCAAAGCCTGCATGAACTCGCCTCAACCATCCACACTGGTCTGGGCATCTCATGCGAGATGGTCTCTGCAGAACAGAATGGGTGATATATGTATATATATATATATAAATAGTATTCTGATTGGTTCTATGACTATGTACATCCATTTACTATATAAATTCAATATAAAACTGTTTAAAGATCTTGTTTGCTGTGGTTCTTGAATTGATGCGATTTTTGAATTAATTGTACAACAATTTTGGTCTTTATATGGAAAGAGTGGAAGTAATGACCGCTGTTCCACCGTCGTTTCAAGGAGGACATCGGACACGGAAACTAAGCTTGCAAACACTATCTAGCAAGCCATGTTTGTGCATCCGCACAATTGTATGACCTGCTATATGTTGTGCATGATGTGATTTCATACTTATCTGATACTGTACTAATTATATATATAATTATCCAACATATCAACACTATAATATTGTTCCTCTTTTCTTGGCCGAGTGATTGCCAAATGTCCCAGGCAGCCGAGATGGGACAATTTGCCATGTCCTGTTGGCACCAGTATGTTGCGTATATGTTGATGCTTCCATCGTTCAATCTTGTCTTGGCACCACCTCAGAATCCAAAGCCCTTCTGCATACGATGTGTGAAATGGCATTTATCGATGTTGCAACTGGCCAAGCAAACCAAATCTTTCAGAATTGGATCGGTGCATGTCCCAAAACTGGGGTAAGCTCCGATTTCCATTTACCCACGGCGTTCTTGACCAAGGTTCGGTTTCAGTAACGTCACTTTGCTTTGCTCAAAGGGCTGGGGCTTCTTAGGAGAAAGGCTTCTGCGCTCGAGTCGCTCGAGGTGGCTTGTCTTACTACATTCACCAAGTACTAAAGGAGCATCACTGTGCAAAGAATGCCTCTGGCAAGCCTTTTTCATCTCCAAGCCGAACGACCTCTGAAGGGGTCTAGGTGGCTTTTAGGTTCAGCCTTTCCAAGCCATGTCAATCCGAGAGCTAGTAAGTTCATGCCACATCCGTCTGCTGTGATGGGGATTTGTTCGAAGCAATATGCTAGTACGCTCCACGTTTTTCTGACTTTACGGCACAGCTGTCTTAACTTCTAAGCTAGGGCTAGGGCTTTTAATGGTTCAAACAACATCTAACAACTACATGTTTGCTGATACTATTTCAAATTTGCATGGTTTGGCAACTTGCCCTGCTACTATTTAAGTTTATGTATGTTTATGTATATCTTGCAGGGCGGACCCTTCAAAGCACAAATAACGGGGCTATCCGGAGCTGATGCACACTGGAGCGACACATTCCTCTGACCTAACAACCAACAGAAGCGCATCAACCGGCAGGACACAACGTAAATAATGCCCATATATGTTTGTCATGGATTGTTTACTGCACATCACCTCTCAAACCCTGTCACTTAGTGCAGGCAGCCGAGCTTACAGACTTCACCATTCTCATGAAGTTCCAGTGCATCTGTAGTGCAAATTCGTGTACACAATCGCGCAATACTTCACAAAAACAGTGCTAGGCATGGCTGGGCAATGGGTTGGAAGGTTCCCTTCGATGCCCTTGTGATGCTTTTGCCACAATGGCGCCCAGCTGGTGTGGCCATGTCGATTTCTGTAGGTCTCCATTACTCTGAGAAGACGCACTGAATCATGAGAAGCTGCAGCGAAACGTTGGACATACTTGCGGTTGTCGTCTTCACACAGTGACGTGAAGCATGTGCTACTCTCCCACCCTCTCTCTGTCTCTCAAATTCTGGGTGAAAGGCAGCCTGCAAAGATACAGACCAACAACTGCAACCCCATGAATGCGTACTTGGTCTACTCGCTTGTCCACAAGCATCTGCGTGAGATCTACACGAGCAGCAACAGCAGCTACTGTTTCAAGGACTTGCCTCTGCGATGCTCGTGTCAGTATGGCACCTGGCAAAGCCTCTTGCTTTGCAGTTTTGCTGAAAAAGCCTCCAGTGCTTGGATCGAGTGTGCAAAGCACTGGCAAAAGGTCTTTGTGAAGGAGTCTTCAGCTCCAAAGAAGACGGGTCGGTCAAAAGCAGTTTTTCAACCTAGTTCGAGCCGGGGTGCCAACCAATGGGACTTCACCAATGGGTGGCGGGGGCCAGGAGCATCACATGCTTCACCCAGTCGCTTGAGTCAGCCATGTCCTGTCGGCACCAGTATGTTGCGTATATGTTGATGCTTCCATCGTTCAATCTTGTCTTGGCACCACCTCAGAATCCAAAGCCCTTCTGCATACGATGTGTGAAATGGCATTTATCGATGTTGCAACTGGCCAAGCAAACCAAATCTTTCAGAATTGGATCGGTGCATGTCCCAAAACTGGGGTAAGCTCCGATTTCCATTTACCCACGGCGTTCTTGACCAAGGTTCGGTTTCAGTAACGTCACTTTGCTTTGCTCAAAGGGCTGGGGCTTCTTAGGAGAAAGGCTTCTGCGCTCGAGGTGGCTCGAGGTGGCTTGTCTTACTACATTCACCAAGTAGTAAAGGAGGAGCATCAAACGGTTCTGGCAACACGTGACTTTGACTTTCAATTCCGGACGACCTCCGAAGATGTGGCTTCGAGGTTCATCAATTTCAAGCCATGTCAATCTAAGGGAAGCTTGTAGGTTCGTGTTCATGCCACACCCGTCTGCTATGACGAGGATGTGTTTGAGGAAATTTGCTAGTGCACTCCGGCTCCAGCACCACTTTAGCAAACAGCTAGTTTAACTTCTAAGACTGCCTCTAGGCTAGGGCTTTCAATGGTTGGTTAACAACCAGTTTTCAGTGTCATTTTTGCCGACTGTGGTTCGCTGTTGCACGTTTTGGAAGACTTGCTTTACTAATTGTATGCTATCTATCTTGTAAGGTGGGCCCTTAACTGAAATCCTGAATACACATTCCTCTTGTACACAGGCCAGCCCACACCGGCGCTGATGCACATCCGGTGGGACGCATTCTGGTCTAACAACATTGGTTTCTAACAGAAGGGCATCAACGGGCAGGCAACATCGCAAAGAATGCCCACAAGTACCTATGGTGTGTGTCGCAAGTTGCTGCTTCATGCGTGAAGGCAGCCGAACCGAACGTGCAGTTTTCATTCTAATGAAAGTCCAGTGATTTGGAGTGCAATGTAATGTCACAATACTTCACAATGGCAGGGCTGGGCAGCTTTTGGTTCCCTTCGACAACCCATTGTGATGATTGTGAAGCTGCTTAAGCTCGTGTCCGTATGGCACCTGGCAAAGCCTCTTGCTTGGCAGTTTTGCTGAAAAAGCCTCCAGTGCTTGGATCGAGTGTGCAAAGAACTGGCAAAAGGTCTTTGTGAAGGAGCCTTCAGCTCCAAAGAAGACGGGTCAAAAGCAGTTTTCAACGTAGTTTGCGCAAGTTGCTCCAGCTGGCACATGCTTCATTCAGTCTTTTGAGTCAGCGTGCAACCTGCCAATCTATCATTTGCGACAGGTGAGCTGATGGGAGGCAAGCTGCTCTGCTAAATCATTGACAATTGTAAGGGTACCCGCAGTGTGCTCTTGCACAAGAACTTGCTGGGAAGGACATCGGTCTCACCGCTTCTCCCTGGAATCGAGCCATTCGGGGGCCGTTGTGGGGCACAACTGGCATCAAGTGGAGATCCAATTCACCTGTCGGGAAAGTGGATCACCTGTCGAGTAGCCCTGAGGCTACGCCCGAAGCGACGGCAGTGATGAGCCATGATTCACGTGGCCCAGCATGGCACTCTGGTCATACCAGCGTGGCTTGGAAGCAGGTGACCCAACCTGAAGCGGAAAGCTGCAATAACCTCGCGCGTTATACTCTGCTTGCTGATTCTCTGGCTCGGCCAAGAACTATAGCTGGAACCTGATGCCATCATGGGATTG